CCACTCAGCTAATGTTCCCTCTTCTCCTTCCAGCCCAGCAAGCGCTCTCCCTCGGAGCTGTGTGGCAGGAACGATGGCAACATCAAGGTGATTTTCCCTGACGCCGAAGTAGAGGACGCAGAAGGCAAAGCTCTGCGCAGGGCCCAGCCAGGAGACTACGTGTTGGTGAAGGTGACCTGCCTAGAAAGCTTGTTTTTTGGGCTATTTTTTCCTGCATTGTGCTGTTCTCTAGAGCAGCTGCTGCCAGGAGAGCCTAAAACTAAAATAGATGTTTCCAAGTGTCTTTGTTCCTAAGGACTGTTGTGTTGTTGCTTTCAGGTAACCTCTGCCAGCTCGCAGACCTTGAAGGGAGTCCTCCTTTGCCATACTACCCTCTCCCGCTCCGCGACGTGTTGATGCATCCCTGCAGACGAGGGGCAAAAGCAGCACACTTCCCCAGGAAGAAACAAGAAGTTTGGTCAGGCACAAGTGGGGGCAAAACTAGGGATTTTCCTTTTCCTTTTGGCAACAACCTTCCACCATAGATCTGTGCAGGTTTGTAAGCAAAAGGCATAGAAGCTGCGCATGGACTTGCCAGACCCAACGACAGCAAGATCTTGTGTTTTCCCTGGTGCTCTGTTTGGCTCTGCTCCTGCCCCTTGCAGTGTTGCAGGTCAATCTCTGTCTTCAATCACGTCCTCTGTTTCATCCCAGCCGGAGAAATCGATGTCTGCAGGGCAGGGCATTGCAGCTAACTGAGCTGAATTTGGGAGCTGCAAAAGCCTGCAGCACCTAGAAAATACAGCTCTGACTATTGCTGAACAGGGACAGCGCAAGAGGACAAACAACTCAGGGAAGAGGAGATTTTTATGAATTTCTTCAAATACTGGGAGCTGCAAAAGCCTGCAGCACCTACAAAATACAGCTCCGACTATTGCTGAACAGGGACAGTGCAAGAGGACAAACAACTCGGGGAAGAGATTTTTATGAATTTCTTCAAATATTAATAACTTCACTGTTAGGAAACGGGTGGAATTGGTAAGGGAGAACCTGCATCCTGCTTGTGTGATGGAATGTGACACAAAACTGTGGAATGTAAAGTTGTGTTTAACACGCACAGACGATGTTTCGTATGTCATATCCAAGGACTGAGGGAACGTGCCCCTTGCACTGGGGATCCTAGGATCTAGGCTAAAGGGATTTGCTTGTCCTTAGGCCTAAGGAAATGCATACTGGAAGGACTGGGCAGCTGAGCGTTACCTGTCAGAACTTTGGGTGCAAACACAAGGAGTTTGAGGTTCTTTTTTTTTTTTTTTTTTTTTTTTTGTGATATGTCCTTCCCTCTGCTGAAGAGGAGAAATGGTTGGTACCAGTTTAAATGGCCAGTAAGTTCATCTGGAGTTCATCCTGGAAGTTCATCTTATAATTGCATTTTTTTAACCAGAGCCCACAGTTAACATGGGCTGCATTGCCATGGTCCAGCCTTGTCTGCCGAATTCAGGCAAACAGCTCTAACTTGCACTTGTGGCTACAGTCTCTCGCAAGCTGTGAGACAGAATCGTGCCTTTTTCATAAGGATAACTTGTTACTAAAATAAAAGATTGTAAAAGGCTCTCTCCAGTGAGAAATGCTGAAGAAGCTGCTCAAGTCTTTGTAAAGTAGTTCTGATATGAATTTGCAGAATTTTAAATTAACATGAAAGGGTTTTGTTAGAAAGTCCATCCTCCTCCTCCATGGGATCTAAGTTCCAATTATATCTCTCTGAAAACAGCATGGTTCGCTGAGTATTCATTAGCCCTTAGCTTAAGAAACAAACGCGTTTTGCTGATTACCCCAAAGCTAATTCTCCTCTCGCAGAGGTGGCTCTTGGCGCTGCACAGTCAGCACTAATCCGTGTGGGTGCTGGAGTGTTCAGAAACGCAGCTCTGCTCAGGCAGCCGTCCCCAGGGAGGGCAGCGTCCTCGCCCAAATCACAAATCACTTCAGAGGCCCCTGCCAGTGGGTGAAAGCCTCTGACAAGAGGATTTTAAGGAAACGAGAGGGCCTGTTTGGTTGGAAATACCAAGGGAAGAAGCAGGACGCAAGCATCATCACTCAAAAGTGACAGGTACCAAAGCCAGTGTGTGCTTGCTAATAAAAATAACCAGGTTAACTACCCTGCAGCATCTTTTTTAGGTCATTTTTCCTGTGCCTGTTAAAAGTGTGGCCAGCCCCTCCTGAGAAGGGCTGACACGCACCTTTCTCTGCTCATTCTGACCTTTTCTCCATGACCACCCCATTTCCAAGCGAGAAAATCTGCGAGCAGTGCCCCCTTCCCTCTCCATCCCGCTGTGATAGAAGGGATTCCCAAGTCAAGGAGGCTGCTGTTAATCCCTGCCTTGGACTATTCCCACACAACACTGCATTGAAAAGGCTGCCGGGCCCGGCTTGCTCGTCGCTGCAGCTCGTTAGCCTAAAGACAATTCCATAATAACTTCCCGGCAGCGCCTGCAGCCTCCGGCTCTGCCCGTTCCCCAGCACGTCCCCAAGAGCCGGGACAGGGTGGATTGTGGCAGCCCTGGACGGAACAGGCTGCGCGGCGGCACCTCCCGGAGAGACCCCCGGGGCCGCGCGTCTCCCCTCATGTCACACACTGGATTTGTCCCTGTTTTTCCCTCCACGGTGCCTCCCACAGCAGGGCTCGAGCACCATCCCCATTCCCGCGCCGCCTGCTCCCTCCCCGGCCGCTCATTTCCCTCCTGGCAGCGAGTATTGACTTTTCCTTCTCTTGGAGATGAGGTGCCTGCCTCATTAGCTTTGAATTAGTTTTCTCTCTTGACTTTCCTATTAATAAGCTCCCATTTTGGTGCTGTTCTTTGATATCAATTTCCCATTTTTTCATTTATGTCACCTTACCCTCCAAATATTTTTTCAGATATTTTTTTCCCCATCAGCTAGCTGGGATATTTAACCATTGGACGGTGATGAGAGCCCTGCCAGCAGCTGGACATCAGCCCTGAGCAGTGTCCAGTGTCCGCGTGGGCTGGGGAAGGGGCTGGTGGGACGCAGGCCAAAATGTCCCCCCCATGTCCCCGCCGTGTCCCCTCTCGCACTACCAGGGAGCGGGCGTCATGTTTTCAAAGCAGCATTTACCTCCCTGGGTATCTGCAGAGCTGAACTGCGGTTCTCCCACATGCAGGAGAACAGAAGCAATTACAACAACGCTGCAGCCCCCATGAGTTGAATAGAAATTCACAGTAAAAGCCAGTCTCAAAACCCGTTAACCAAAGCGCAGCCTGGCCCGGGGCAGCGTCCTCCCCTTGGCCGCAGGATCCCTGCAGAGGGGGAAAAGCCCTTTCCATGGCTGAGCAGCAGAGGGGCTGTGAACCCGCCTTGCAGGCACCCCAAATCCACCCAGAGGTCGCCCCATAGCGCAGTGTTCATCCTCATCGTCTCAAAGCACAAATGTTTGTATCCAGCCAGGTGCACCTGCGGCTCAGCTTGAAGGCTGCTTTTTTTTTTTTTTTTCCTTTCCCGTGTAAAATCCCTAGAAATGGCAAAATTTCGTTTTCAAACAGTCAACAAATCAAGGTGCAGAAGGAGAGCAAGGACAAGGAGCTGGTGTTTCCACCTGCCCAGCCCACGGAGCAGGGCGAGCACAAGGACGTGGTGGGCGCAAGTGCCAGAGGGAAGCGCAGGGCTCGGGGGCGCCTTAGCCCTGAGCTGGGCACAGACCCGCGTCGGGCAGTGCCGAAACGTGGAGCTGAAGAAGCTCTGGGATTTGCTTGGGTGCGTTGACTCAATCCTCGTCTTTCTTTGTCCTCAGAGCATCTTCCTCTGGTGGTACCCGGAGCACCTGGGGAAAGGCCCATGCTGCTCCCACTGCTGCGTGGAGCAGGAGCTGCTCTGCCATGGACAGGGACATGGACATGGATATAGGCATGGACATGAGCATGGGAATGGACATGGATATGGGCATGGACGGGGCACGGACAGACATGCTCATGGACTGAGCACGGACATGGGCACGGGAATGAGCATGGGCATGGCCATGGGAGTGGCCATGGGGATGGACAATGGCACAGACATGGACATTGTCATGGATATGGATGTGGCAAAGGACAAGGGCACCAGCATGGACATGGATAAGGGTATGGGCATGGATATGAGCACGGACAGGAGCAAGGACAGGGGCATGGCCAGGGGCCCGGGCAGGACCACGGCGAGCCCTGCTTGGCCTTACCCCACGGTGTGCTGGCTCGCCCCAACGCGGGAGCTACTGGCTGCTGCCACCGAGACCGACACCTGCAGCTGGACAGAGGGACACGGTGAGCGCTGGGCTGCCCTCACCCCCTGCACCTGGCTGTGTCTGCAGGGCCGTACGGACCAGCCAGGAGCAACGGCCCCGGCTGCACCAGGGACGTGAATCAGCGCCCGCAGAAAGGCCCGAGGGGAGGCCAGCCCGGGGGAGGCTGGGGCTCCTCGTCCATGTGTCACTTGTGTCCTGGAGCCCAGAGCGCCTCCCGTTGCCTCTGCAGGCAGTAACGACTCCCGGTGCTGCCCGGCGGGGCACAGGGCGCTCAGCCCTTCCATGGGAGGAGAAGGGGCTCCTGCATGAGCTACTGGGTCAAGCTCAGCACCCCGCGCTGTGCTCAGCATCCTGTACTGCACCGTGCTCAGTGCCCCAAACATTGCCGATCCCTGCACCCCACCATGCTCTGCACCCTGCACCCCGTGTGCTCAGCACATTGCACCTTGATAATCCCAGCACCCTGCACCCTGTGTGCTCTGCACCCTGCACCCCATGTCCTCAGCACATTGCACCTTCCTAATCCCAGCACCCTGCCCCCTGTGTGCTCTGCACCCTGCACCCCATGTCCTCAGCACATTGCACCTTCCTAATCCCAGCACCCTGCCCCCTGTGTGCTCTGCACCCTGCACCCCATGTCCTCAGCACATTGCACCTTCCTAATCCCAGCACCCTGCGCCCCGTGTGCTCTGCACCCCGTGTGCTCAGCACGGTGCACCTCGCTGATCCCAGCCCCCTGCACCCCGTGTGCTCTGCGCCCTGCCGTGGGCTGAACTCACTCCGCAGGAGCCAGTTGATGAAGGCGCTGGGGAAAGGTGTATTCTGCAAAAAAAGAGGGCGGTGACAGAGGTGTCAGTGTGATGGACGCTGTGGCTGCTGGGAGGCAGGGCCTGGCTGAGGATGGGGGCTGCGGTTGGGGACAAACCCGGTGGCTCGGCCACCACGGTCCCCTGAGCAAGGCCGTACCTGCAAATCCAGCTCCACAAATTGCCCCGTCGTCACTGGCGAGTTGGCGAGGACAGAATGGATTTTCCCAAGAAGTCCAAAGGAGACGACACCTGCACACAGGGAGACGTCCTCATCCGCCCGTCCGACAGAGCGGGAACAGGCGTCCCTCCTGCCTGTGCCTGCGGCAGAGCTGCCTGCCCGGACGGA